AACCAGGGATTGAACTTAGACCCTTTCAACTGAGCCATCTCCCCCGCCCTCTACTTGATGTTTTAATCTTTATAAAAATAACCTTCTGCAATATGACTGTTTCACTTGATGTTTATTAGTTTTGCTAATACACTCTTCCTTTACAGAGCCCTATAGTATTCCAATGTGAGCATTTGTTTTTCCATTTGGCTGAACTTTTGGTTTCCAATCTCATGTACACCACTGCTATGAATACCCTAAGGTACCTTCTATGAGTTGCATCAGCAAGGACTTCCTATACCACTAAAGGTGTCCTGAAGGTGGAATAACTAAGTTAAAGTTCTACATGTTAATGCCAGATAGCAACAAATTTACACTACCCTCTAGTGTGTTTGCATTACTCCCCATTTTATCAAATATGCTGAAATTTGCCAAACCTGAGGGCTTACAATGAAATGTTTTTGGTTTGCATTTCCTTATTAGTGAGGTCAATCTTTTTCATATACTAATGTTATTTACATGTCCTCTGTGAAACGCCTGTTGCTGAACATTTTTCTAACATACTTTTAGTTCTTCTTTTGTAGGCCTTTATATAGTCTGGATAACTGTGTTTGTTACATTATTGAAAATACTTTAATTTGTAACTTTTTTTGCTTTATGGTCTTTTGTTAAATAAATATTGCTTTCAACACTTAAATTTTTCACTTTTTATTTAAATAAAAATTCCATACCCCTAATCCTAGAAGTGTTGTCCTTCACATTCTCACATTGAAGTTTTGCCTTTTGCAAATGAGTCTTTATAGTCAAACATTTATATTTGCATAAGGTGTTAGACAGATTCTATTTCACTTTATTCTGTATGGGTGACAAATTTCCCTAGTATCATTTGTTTACTAATTTATATTTTACCCAGTAATTCCTAACACCACTCTTATCAACCATTATTTCCATATAAACCTGGTCTAATTATAGATTATTCTATACGACTGTTCTATTTGACTACCCTTGCATAATAATAGTATACTTACTATAACAGCTTTACTTAAAAGGGAAAAGAAATTCTTGACAATTCAAGTTCCCCATCTCTTTACAGGAGCTCGTTGTTTCTAGAACTTTATCAGTAAATCTTTAGGCTCAATTTTTGTTAGGTTCTTCCAATTTTGGAAATTGATATAAATTGGTTTGATGTAACATCAATTTCAGGATAGTTGACTTTTTAGCACAGAGATTTCCAACAGTGTACAAATGTGTTCAGCTTTGTTTCAATAAATTTTAGGATGTTCTTCATGGAGACCATGTAATGGAGATTCCTCGTATCTTCTGATGTTCTTGCACTGCACTGTTTTAAAATTATATTCTTTGCTATTGTTTACAACATAATATTGACCTTATTTTCAACAACTACTTATTTATACATTCATTTGCAACGTAATCTTGGTATTTTTTACAATCTTGAATTTTTCTTTTTCAATACTTCCTGGGGGGGGGGCCTGGTCCTAGCTCAGTTCTTTAAGTGGATGCTTCCACAAAGCTGTCAGCCTCAGCTTATTCTAGTTCGATCCCCACAACCCTCTAGCCAGCCAAAAGTGCCCTGAAGGCATTCGAGGAGAAAAAAAAAAAAAAAAATCAATACTTCCTGAGGCCAGCGAAAGAGCTCAGCAAATTAAAGTGCCTGCAAGCAGGCACAAAGCCTGGTGGTTTGATCCCCAGGCCTGCCGTGCTGGCCCCACCCCAGAGCACCTCGAGATGGCAACTGAGACTGGTGTGGTGGCACAGACCTGTGATCCCAGCTCTTGGGAGGCTGTAAACAGGCAGATCACTACAAGACTGATCTAGTAATGAGACTCTGAACACCCTATAGACCCTTGCCTAAAAAAAATAAAATACTTTCCATAGCCTTAGTACAAGCAGATTATTAAAGAAAAATGCTGGGGCTAGGGAGAGAGCTCAACACTAAGCATCTTCCTGGCAAGCACAAGGACCTGGGTTCGTTCCCCAGTACATGCCATGCTGACCCCAAAACCCCAGGTGCACCATGCCAGCCAGTGAAACTGGGCAGTGGCACACACGTGTAATCCCAGAGTAGGGGAGGCTGAGACAGATGAGTCTGAGCTGTGTGGCGAGACTCTGTACCAAATAAAGTAACTGAGGTCAAGAGTAGATAACTGCTGTTCAGTCACAAAAAAAGAGGTCCTATGAGCACACAGCAAGATGGTGGCTCTTACAAGCCAGGAAGAGGCTCCAAAAGGGAACTAACCATACTGCCACCTGGCTTCCAGTCTCCAAAACCGTAAGAAAGCAAATGTCTGTTGTTGAAGCCACCTGATATGTCATGTACACTCTTCTATTATGACACCCTGAGCAGACTAAAATATCTAATGATACAATAAAGTCTTATTTTGTACTTAGGATCTTATTACTTATTACCAGGGGGAAGCCTCTTCACCCAGTGATCTAGTTGGCTAGCTACCAAGGGAGTGTGAAGACAGTACTTCTGTTCCCAAGCACTCCTTTATTTAACAGGGAAGAAGGGCTAATTAAGGGCTCTCACTGGGGACTACAAGAAAAATTAAACAGCATTTATAAAAAATAAGTTTATGCTTCCTCTTTTAAGGCTTTAAAGGGTCTGTGTGCTTTTTATGCCCCCCAGATCTCTCCCACATTTGTAATGATCTATAGATCAAAGTCCTAAGACTACAGGATAAGTGATAAGATTTTACTTTCGCTTGCAATGGAAGGTTATGAAACAAAGGACAAGAGAATTTGATCAAGTGTATGGAGAAAAAGGTAAGAAGGGTGAATTACAAGGATCAAGCTTACTGCACACAAATAAGTGGATTACACAAGACAGAAGTTTATTTGTCTCCCAAAAGTCCAGAGGCAGGCTGTCCAGACTGGTCTAGCAGTCCCGGGTGATCAAAGATCCCAGCTTCTTCCATCTTCCATCTGAAGACTGCTTCATGTTCAGTGTGGCTACTGGACATTCAGCCATCATGTCCACGTTTCAGACAAGAAAAGGGGCATGACGGTCTGAAGAAACACAAAGGATGAGTCTCCAGAGTTAGTTCATGTAAGAATTTTCCTGGAAGCTCCTGCAAAGGATTTCCATATACAGCTTCTTAGCGATCCCTAACTGCAAAGGATGGAATGTAGTACTGGCTGTGTGTGTCACCTCCAACAAAATACTGACTCTTAAAAATAGATACTAGGTAGTACAGTAATCAAGGTTTTTCTTAATACTCCATAGAGCTTTGACATTTTTGGAGTCTTGAAGGACCAGAATGGGCAGCCCTCTGCAGAGTTAGTTAACTCCTAAAGTCAGTGAACAACATGATAAGTAGACTGACCCATTCTAGCTACACTCATCTACCACCTTTTACTAGACCCCTGCTCTTATTCAGCCCAGATGCCTCGCAGCTAGGGATCATTCTACAGCCCAGAGACCACTAAAATCCCTCAAATTACCTAACCTTACACTTGCTCAGCTTGCCCGCTGTGCTTTGTTTCTTCCCTAGGGAAAAAAGTAGTGGAAAAAAAAAAAAAACATCTAGGTTCCCCTTTTCCTGACTTATCAGCTCTTTGTTCTTGCTGCAGCCCTCTCTAGAACGGTCAGGAACAAAATGCTCTTTTCAAAGGTAAATACAGAGTTGTCTCTGTATCTGATGTATTACTATACTATGAGTGATTAAAGCAAATTCCAGTGCTCAAACAACAAGCAGGTAATTGGAAATCCTTCCTACAATATAGTTCTCCACAACAGAAACAGGAAACTAGTAAGATGTGAACTAGAAGATTACCTGACAAATCTGTTTATGACATGTCTGCAGAAGGAAAAAAATTATTCCTGCACTTATCTTCTGAGCTCCAGACTAATATACCCAACATTCTACCCAGGAGCTATTCAAAACTGAACTCATTTTCTTCCTCCCTCTCAAATTTGCTTCTTTATCAGTGGTCCATAAACTCAGAAAGGAAGGTCACTACACACCAGTGACCCAACGAAGAATTTCTGAATCATCGTCCAACTGCTTTTTCTCTTACCAATACTTAGTGCAGGACCACAGAATGCTGGACAGCAGCTGTATGTTGCTATTCTTAGAATCTCCAACCCAGAACCTACAAGATCTGGCACAAAATGGAACACAATTATTTGAATTAATTTGAATCCCAAATGCCCTTCAAGTTCTTCCTCACACCCTCACCCACCCATTCTACTAATATTTCCAGTCTTACTGCAGGAATTCCCCAAGTATCTCTAGGCTCCCCCACTTCTCTTTCTAAAGCACCGTTCTGATGAGACACCCTTTTTAAACCTTCTACAGCTCACCATTGCCAAAGTTTCGCAAGATTCCAAAGCACTTTATATTCCAGCAAGAACCTATCTTTTGCTGCTTCAAAATCTTCCATTTTCGGATCCTTTGTTCATGCTGTCTCCCCTACAGAAAACTAGCCTAACTCTCCCATCCTGCTCTTCACACCATGTCACTCTTAGCTGCAATTTCCACTTATTCTCCCTGCAGCTCTCATCCTCTCAAACTGTGAGTTCCTTACTCAAGAATCTTGTTACACTCAACGCTATAGCCCAGTGTTATATTGGGTACATACGTACATACAGTCGACATTGGAGTTTAAAATAACCAGAATGATTTTGATTCCCGGTACCAAAAAACAAAAAGAAAAAAGAAAAAAAAGATAACCAGATTAATTATATACAACAAAAAAAAAAAAAAAAAAAAAAAAAAAACCAACATGGAAGCAGCACTGAATCATCTGTGGAAGAAACTATTCTAGGACTAATATGTTCTCATAGATATCATATGAGATTTTGCCAAGGTAAGCAGCAGCAACAGCAGCATCAGTAGCAAAAGAAGCAGCGAGCAAGCAAACAAGCAAGCAAGCTAGCAAAACAGGGCAGACAGCAAGTAGATGAAGAGTAAGGAAACAAAAAGATGCATCGTGATCATGCCTAGTGACATAGTAACCTGAAAGCTACAAACTACCCTAGTATGTGGGACAATGGGGCAGGCATAGAAGCAAATCATAGCAGCAAAAAGGGACTTCAATGTGTCAATGCCTGTCAAGTTTCTCAATCTCTCAAAAGTGAGACTCAAAAATTTCTGAATAATATTCTTGACAGTTTCAATTCCCAGAAAGTAAAGTACATACTCTGAAGTTACTCTAACCAGTTACTGCTTGACACAGGAAAACAAGAGGAGTTAAAATAGCCTGGTAAGGGCTGGCCACATAGCTCAGCAGATTAAAGCACCAGTTTAGGCAGATGCAGGGACCAGGGCTCAATCCCCAGTATGCAACGCCAGCCTTGTCCCTGGGGCACACTGGAAAGGTGACTGAGACTGGGCGTGGTGGAGCGCCTATAATCCCAGCACTCCCAAGGCTGAAAACAGGAGAATCACTACAAGTCTGATTAAGTCTGATCAGTGTAGTAAGACCCTTGAAGACCCTGTACTAAATTTAAAAAAAAAATAGTAGCCTGATAAGAGAATTACCTGTGACTTATTTTCCTATATAGGGTTATCAAACTAAGAATCACAAATAATGTAAGTAGAGAGGTAATTTTCCTTCACTCCTCTCTGCCCAACCAAAACCTATTATTTATTAAACTTCAATTGTCTCTCTGGGGCAAGAGGAAGAAAATGAGAATCCTAACCTCAAGGGGGGATAGTTCAAATGCAGTGAGCAGGAAGGCATATAACACCCCCTCAACTGAGCCACAAGCTCCAGATGGGCAGCTCAGTAGCTCTAGAACTTTGCCAAGTTACTTAATCTCTTTCAGATTTTGACTGCAACTTTTTTGGGTGGGCACTGGGAACTTAGAATCTCACACTTCCCAGGCAGATGCTGTGCCACTGAGCTATATCTCTGACCCAATCTCTCCCAATTTTTGGATCTCATGTGTAAAACAAGGGTAACAGTACTTTCTTCTTAGGATAATAGTTAAGCGAGATAATGATTTTAAAAAAGTGCTTAGCTTAGTACCTGACACATAGTAAGCACATAAGAAATACTAGCCATTAACATTGTTATTATTTGCTCATTATTAACCTTGGGGATTACTGCTCATTTTCTACGAAGATTTTCCTGTTGCCACTTCCACCAAATTCCACAGTATGAAATACAAATCCTAAAAGCAAATAAGTAAAACAATCCTGCCCTCATTTTCCTGCCTGTGTTCCAATACAATTCAACTGGACAAAAGACACCTTGTACAGTCCTACAATGTCACTCTGCTAGGTGAAGCAAGATAGGAGCAAAAGTGCAACGTGAATCCAAGGTAACACACTGCCTTCAAGAATAACTTTGATCAAATTTTCTACATGAGCTACAAAAGCTTAAGACTGTAACCCAGTTATCAACAAGTAAGTGCCCAAAACAAGAACATCTATTCCCCAAACAGGGCCATAAAACCATGCTTGGTGTTTTGGAATGTCTCTGAATTACCTGGTGATTTCTAAGACACAGATTAGCCTGAGAATTGTACTGACAGTAAATAACAGATACCACACCGGTGAGTCTGTCAGTTCTTGGGTGTGTAGATGTTATTAAAATGTAGAGAGGCTATAACTATGAATGCTAAAATCCACATGGTTGGAAAACACAAATGATTTTCTTGTTCCAGTACATGAAGCAGTACTGACTGCATGTTTAGTTGAGTCTACATGGTTTCAACACAGAAAAATTTTTCCCCAAAATTAAGTCCTCTAAATTATAAAACTAAAAAAATACTTATGTTATAAACAAATAAAAAAGAACACATAGGCATAAAAAAATATACAATACCCTATCCAGTGGTAATCACATTTTGGTGTACTTCTAGACCTTTTAAAGCATGTTTAATTTATAACTTCTTTTATTATAACTTCTTTAGAATTGGGGTAGCACTGTGCATGCTATTTCACACTTTTCCTCCCACTGTTCTGTGTATAGCACTCATCTTTTCCCCAAAACATGCAATCCCCAAACCAAAGTCATGGGGCAGTTTTTTGCAGATTCCTGCATGACCATATCAAGGGAAATGCAGGACCAAAACCTAGTCCAGAAGAGCCCACAGTCTACTACTGCTATCATATTCATAAATGTATTCTGTGCCTGGACTACTTCAGGAGCAAGAGAAAGTAGATAGGGCTAGCAGGGTAGGCAGCACATAGTGTTTGTGCCAAAAAATGTGAGTGGTTTGGGGCCACTGGGTCTACCAGAATCGGGACATAGGTAGAGACTGAACCTGATATGGAAAGTGCTACTGCCTCAGCCTCAAAGCCAGTCAGGCCAAGATGAGAGTCAACACTGGGAGACAGCCTGGAGAAGGGCCCTCACCGCACGCAGCAATGACCCACAGGACACACTGTTCTACTTCTGCTCACTGGACTCAAGACACGTCTTTAGGCAGGAATTAGGCTCCTGTAACTTTCCCAGAGCACAGACAGATTTATCATCCTGTTTAGATAAGAATGGTGATCTGTATAATTTTTCACAAAATTTAAGAACATAAAAGCTGTTTGGCTGAGGAAAGACACACAAGCTACTCAAAAAACAAGTTTTATTTACTTTACAATTTTGCTTCAAGAATAAAATTACCCAGGAGACAGATTCAACATGGGAACCTAAAAAGCAGATACTATACTTGCAGATTAGTGGTTCACACTACAGAAAGACAAATAAATCCTCCTGTTCTTGGGTGAGTAGAGGATGAAGTTAAGGCACACCATCTTTCCCTAGCCAAACTGCAACCAAGGAGCTGTCCAAGCGTGCAGGAAGTAAGTCCAACGTGACCTAAGCTACAGTTGACACACTCTTAAGACAGAGAGGAAAGAATACACAGCCTGGGGAACAAGCCCACAGATGGAGTAAGCTGTGCAGAGTGGGACAGAGAGAACAAGGGATTTCTAACATTTGAATACAACTCGATCAGCACCAGCTGACCTCTGAAAAACTGTGGACAGAACTGAGAAAGATCAACACAAATTTTACAAATCAAATGCGCTTAAAACTAAACTGAATTTATATAATCTTTATTAGTAATTATTAGTACTACAGCAAAAAATAAAAGGAAAATGCAATACCTGAGGCTCTAGGAAGTAATATCAAAGGTACTAGGAGAACCTTTGGGTTGGGGTATAACCCAGTGATAAAGTGTTGGCCTAGCACACCCAAGACCCTGGGTCCATGCTCAGCACTAAGAAAGCGGGGGTTGGGGGCTTCTTCCCACCCTGAGAGTTCTGGAAAAAACCTGAAAAGATAGTAAAGAGGGCTTGGAAAGACAGAAAATCATGGAAGCAGAGCATCTATAGACAAATTATCTCATCTCTGGTTACATCTCAGGTCTTCACAGTTATAAACTGTGTCTCATAAATACTCTGAGGAAATTGTCTAAAAATGAAGCCATGAACAACACAGGTTGGACCTGAAGCAATTTAGGCTAAACACTAATCACCATTCACCAGTCTGCCTCAATCTGGACTAAAGCTCAACATCCCAGGGGATCATTCACCTGTTGACCTTATTCAATGTTCTTCTGTACCACACTCTGGTTAAGATGCAGGTACACAGAGAAATCACCCCTTACCTTCAAGTCTGCAGAACAAACATAAGAAAATTTGTATTTACAACTACAGGATAAATAGCTGACATATAGTAATGTTCAATAATACTGAGTGGCTGAAGCAACACCGAAATACAAGTGTACACAAAAAACACAAGCTACTTCCCTCTTTGCTATAACATGGGTGAACCTGAAAGTTCATTATTTTGTACACCTGTACAAAGAAACCATTACTAAAAGAATGAACAATTAGTAAATGCCACAACTTTCACGACCGACCAAGGCATATGCCACCTAAAGAGAGGGAATGACAGAAAACACTTATCATTTTATAAAATACCATTTTAATTCTTATCCTTAAAGCTATAAAGACTATACATGATTGAGAAATGAGACTATACCCAACAATGGCCCAAGAATCGTCTGTTCATTCCTTTTCTTTTGTCTGGTCACTCAAAAAGATAATGTTGTCTGTAAAGAAATCAAAGCACAAATAAATATCAATTTCTGAACTTCATGTCATTTCATAATTCCCTTCTAATAATACATAATTAGACCTATTACAATTAAGCATTAAATAACTTCTGCTCTGTTCACGAGAAGCATATACAGTAAGCACAAATGCAGCTGAAGGTTGGCTTCTACTGTTTGTCCACTGACGCAGACTTTGTTAGAAGGGCCAAGACATTTCTTGTCTTTCCTGAAGACATAAGATACAATCTTCCTAGAATAACTTCCTCTAAAGCAGCTGGTCACAAATTGGGATGCTCAATGCTTGAGATGTCTCAAAGCCAGGGCACGGGCACTTCTATAGAAGAGGGCGGTTCCACCTAATGCAGTAACAGACGAGGAGGAGGATCCACATACAGCCTTGTCAGCAACTGCAGACCGACTTTTTGTTTTCTTTTCTTTTCTTTTCTTTCCTGAGACAGGATCTTGTAGTTCACGCTGGCCTTGGACTCATCAATCCTCCTGCCTCTGCCTAAAGAGTGCTGGGATCACAAGTATGCATCACCAGGCCTGGCTACTTGTGTTTTAAATAAGTTTAAGAAATTTTATTTTTAAACTTTAAAGCAAAATGACTTTTATGTAC